ATGATTTGCTGCCTTCCTCCCCTTTACCTATATCTGGCATTTCTCCCCATGCTCTCTCTCCCCACTACCCCACCCCCGCATCCCGCCCCCATTTCCCCCCAACAGACCCCAGCGTGTAGTGCTCCCCTCCCTGTATCCATGTGTTATCATTGTTCAACACCCGCCTATGAGTGAGAACATGCAGTGTTTCATTTTCTGCTCTGGTGTCATTTTGCTGAGAATGATGGTTTCCAGGTTCATCCATGTCCCTACAAAGGACACGAACTCATTGTTTTTGATGGCTGCATAATATTCATGGAATGTTTTTCCATCTGTTTGTGTCCTCTCTTATTTCATTGAGCAGCAGTTTGTAGCGCTCCTTGAAGAGGTCGTTTATATCCTTTGTTAGTTGTATTCTTAGGTATTTTATTCTCTTCGTAGCAACTGTGAATGGCAGTTTGTTCTTGATTTGGCTCTCTTTAAGTCTATTATTGGTGTATAGGAATGCTTGTGATTTCTGCACATTGATTTTGTATCCTGAGACTTTGCTGAAGTTGCTTATCAGTTTCAGGAGATTCTGGGCTAAGATGATGGAGTCTTCTAAATATACAATCATGTTGTCTACAGCTTCCTCCTTTCCTAATTGACTTCCTCCTTTTCTAATTGAATATGCTTTATTTCTTTTTTTTTTTTTTTTTTTTTTTTTTTTTTTTTTTTTTGCCTGATTGCTCTGGCTAGAACTTCAAATATTATATTGAATAGGAGTGGTGAGAGAGGGCATCCTTGTCTAGTTCCAGATTTCAAAGGGAATGCTTCCAGTTTTTGCCCATTCAGTATGATATTGATGGTGGATTTCTCATAAATACCTTTTATTATTTTGAGATAAGTTTCATCAATACCTAGTTTGTTGAGAGTTTTTAACATAAAGTGCTGTTGAATTTTGTCAAAGGCATTCTCTACATCTATTGAGATAATCAGGTGGTTTTTGTCTTTGGTTCTGTTTATGTGGTGGATTACGTTTGTAGACTTGCATAGGTTGAACCAGCCTTGCATCCCTGAGATGAAGCCTACTTGATCGTGGTGGATAAGGTTTTTGATGTGTTGTTGCAATCAGTTTGCCAGTATTTTCTTGAAGATTTTTGCATCTATGTTCATCATGGATACTGGCCTAAAGTTTTGTTTTTTTTTGTTGAATCTCCATTGGGTTTTGATATCAGGATGATGTTGGTCTCAGAATGATTTGGGAAGGATTCCCTCTTTTTGGATTATTTGGAATAGTTTCAGAAGGAGTGGTACCAGTTCCTCTTTGTATGTCTTATAGATTAGGTTGTGAACTCATCTGGACCTGGGCTTTTTTTGGTTGGTAGGCTATTAATTGCTGCCTCAACTTCACCCCTTGGGATTTCATAAGTGAAGGAGAAATAAAATCCTTTTTCTTTTTTTTTTTCTTTTTTTGTGATCTAAGTTGTCTCTCTTTAATATTTTTTGTAAGCCTTATGATAATCACAAAAACCTATAATAGATTCATTAAAAATGAAAAGCACTAATTAAAACACTATGAGAGAAAATCATTTAATCATAATGGAAGACAGGAAGAAAGAAAGGAGTTATAAAATAACCAGAAAACAAGCAACAAAATGGCAGTACTTACCAGTAATTACTCCGAATGCAAATAGATTGAATTTTCCAATGAAAAGGCATGGAGTGGCTGAATAGATATGAAACAAAGCCCAACTATATCCTACCACTTCACCTGTAAGGACACACATGGTGAAAGTGACGGAGTGGAAAAAGATATTACATACAGCTGGAAACCAAAAAAGAACAGATGTAGATATACTTGAATCAGATAAAATTGACTACAAATCAAAGACTGAAAAGAGACATAGAAGGTCACTATATAATGATAAAGAAGCCAATTCAGCAAGAGGATATAACATTACAAATATCTATGCACCCAACACTGGAGGTCCCAAATATATAAAGCAAGCATTAATAGATCTAAAGGGAGAGATGGACAAGAATACAATAATAGTAGGAGACTGAAACGTCCCACTCTCAGTAATGAACAGATCATCCAGACAGAAAATCAATGAAGAAACATTGGAGTGAAGCTGAAAATTAGGCCGAAAGAATGTATTTTATGAAGCAATATTGGCTGCTCTAGAGCCTCCGGAACTGAAAAAAAGCTGCAAGTATGCGCTGCTATGAACATCTTTCTAGAGCCTTTTCTGCATAGCTGGTATTGGCATCATACCAAAAGCAGTGTTTATCAAACTAGAGATTAAAAATCAAAATTCATTTTTGCAATAATGAAAAATGCCCTGCATGTGTGTACATGTACTCATGTGAGACAAGGCCCGTAGATATTCCCCCCTTCCCTCTCCCAGTACTAGGTAATTTTGAATAATTGTGTATTGTCAGAAAAGTGACCAGTATTAGTTTTTATCGTTCCAAAATTTGTTTTTAATTTTTTTGTTTAAAAACAAGGCATGCTGTGTTGACTCTAACAGACTAATCTGAATTGTTAAAACTGCTCCCTGGTTATACTCTGGAGAGTAATCTGGGACATTTTAGTGGAATTTTTCTCCTCCTTTTTGGGAGGGGGAGTATGGGTAGTGTATGATTTTTAGTCTTGTTTATTTTAATTGACCAATGTACAACCCTTAAGTAGAGGAGGACAGATTAGTTCCACATTCCACTTCTTAGATTTCATTTAGAAAACATCTTCTCATTCTGGTGCTCTTAGGAAGGAGTATAGTAAATCCTTCATTTAATAATGTACTACTTTTTGAAAGTTGCCCTTTCTGTCTACCCTTGAATAGATCCAGTATTTGATGACATTTGTGAAAGTGCGTGGAACCTGTCTTGTCCCTCCTCTTTATATATGTGACTGACTTTTCAAAGACATTTGTTTTTCATTTCCTGATTTGGGGGAAAATTAATTCCTACCTTCTTTCACTAAAAAATGAAGAAAAGCATTGCACCTTTGAAATACACTAACTTGATTGAATATGTAATTTAAAATAAATTTTTCCCCGTCATTGTTTTTTATGCTTAGCATAGATTTGCAACTCAGTAATATAATTTATTCCTAGATTGAAGCTGGAGACCTATATGTACAGGAAATGTGAGGGGCAGTACTAGAAGACCGACATCTATGGAATGATCCATATCCTTTTAAGTTATGAAAATGAAGGCCTACTTCATTAAGCTGGAGGTGAGGTGAGGGTGAGGAGAATATGTAACAATAAGGGCACCAGTCAGGGAAATCCCCTTAGGTGGGACATAAAAAATTGAATCTCATTAAAATAAGAGTGTAGCTTGGTGGTCATCAGAGATCGGGAAGGGTACGTTGGAGTAGGGATTTGAAAAGAAGTTGATTGATAGGAACAAATACATGGTTTGACAGAAGAACTGAGAACTAATGTTAGATAGATCAGTATGGTGACTGTAGTTTACAGTTATGTGTTGTATATATCAAAATAGCTAGAAGAGAATTCAAATGGTTTTACCCTAAAGAAAACACAAATATTTAAAGTAATAAATATCCCAAGTACACTGATTAGATCTTTGCATATTATATGAATGTATTATATGATTATATCTACTTTGAAACACTAGGTACATCTATTAAACATCAGTAAAGAAAGAAAGAAAGAAAGAAAAGAAAGCCCTGCTGACATCCTGATTGTAGCCCGGTGAGACATGTGTCAGACTTTTGACCTCCAGAATTGTAAGATAATAGATTTATTGTGTTTTATACCTTTGAGTTTGTGATACTTTGTCACAGCAGCAGTAGAAAAACTAACACAGTGACCAAATGGGAATCTCTGTAGAATTTCAGTGGCGAATGGTATATTGCAGTGAATTTAAGAGTTGACTTTTCTCCTTGAAGAATCTCTAATGAGAAAAACAGGAAAGCCAGGATTGTTCATTGCAGATCTAAATTCTTATCTAAAGTACTTTCGAAAGTTATATTCCAATTATCCAACTACTGAACTCCAACAGGTTTTTTAAGTTTTCTGTTCCATCTTTGCTATTCCAGAGGCAGGCATTTTAGACCCCAGCTTGAACAGTAAGTCTAGGAATAGGGTTGTCTTTCCTTCCTTTTTGTGTTCTGATTTTTAAAATTATTGTAATCAATTGTATGTACTTCCCAGCTAAAGTCCTCTAATCAGGCAGTATTCATCAATGATTGGGAAATAAGTTATAAAATGATTTTGTACATAGTTATTTGATTCAATTCAGCTTTATAGATGAGAGAACTGAAGTTCAGAGGAAATAAGTGATTATCCTTTGTCACGGTGCCATTATCCATCTGCTATTGCCAGAGCTGGCGTGGAGCCCAGAAATCTTTTCACTACCCAATGCTATCTTTTTTCCTCATTATTACAATTCCCAGTTTGGCTTTGGAATCGGATAGCTTCTGGCCTTAGCTAACCTTATCCATCCTCTAAAGCAGTATCACACATAAGAAGGGGGTAGCAGTGATACTAGCCTCTCCACCCTTTCTTAAAAAAAAAATTCCTGACAAATAGCCTCATTGTTACTAGAGCAACACAAAATGGAAAATGCTAATAGCAAACATATAGTCCTTACCGTGTGTTAGACACTGTTGTAACCATCTCCATAGTAATTCATTTAACCCTCATCACAATTTTCTGTTGTAGATATACCGTTACACAGGGGTTACCTGACTTGCCCAAGGTTATACTTACTTGGGATGGGTGTCCCAGTGAAGGTGACTAGCTCATAAGAAGGTTAGCAAAAATTCTTAAATCTGGATTTTTTTTTTCAGATACTTTTTCTCCTTTTTATTTTGAAAAACTTCAAAGATACAGAGAATGTAAAGGAATAGTACAAGAAAGGCCCACATATGTATTCTTCATGAATGCAACAGTTGTACACATTTGCACACTTCATATCCGTTTGTATGTGTGTGTGTGATCATCTCTAGGTAGCAGGCATCACAACACTTCAGCATTCTTTATTTTTTAAAAAATCAGATCATTGCTATTTTTTAGGACTTTAGAATTCTTTAAGTTTAATTCAGATACTCATTCACTAATGCAGGATGAGAAAGAGGCAGGACAGTAGAAATTGTGTGGGAGAGTAAAGTTAGTTCAAATATTGAATAGCTAGCTATATATTCTATACTTTAGCTATATTATGTCCCTCGATTTTCAAGACAACAGTATGATGTGGGTGATCTAATTATCCCCATTTTTACAGATAATCTCCAGATACAGAGAGGTAACTTGCCTCGGGCCACCCAATCAATACACAGCAAAGCCCCATGCAAATCTGGGCTATTTGGTTCTAGACTCTGAGCTGTTTCGACTTTGTGCCTAGGTAAACACTTTTGAGGGAAAAAAAAAAAAATCCAGATTTAAGAATTTTTGCTAACCTTCTTACGGGCAAATCACCTTTACTCAAAACTACTTTTAGTTTTTCCATTTTGCTGTTTTTTTGTGTGTTTCCTTTTTTCTTTAACCGATAACCCAATCTAGACGGAACCTAAGGTGCAAAGGGCATCCAGGGAGGTGGAGGGGGAGAAAGGGAAAGGCAGGTGGTGGTCGCAGGATGTTGCCTACGATTAGAGGCCCAGTGGATTCTGGGAATTGTAGTCCGAGACATCCAGGGCATTGCCGTTTAGGGATACGGGAGAACCTGACTCTGCTCCCAGAAGCCTCTGGTGTGCCTCGCCGGGAACGCACTTCCTGGGACGCTGAGGGAGACGCTCCAAGAGGCTCCTCAGTGTGGGCGAGAAAAATGCCCTGCGTGTGAGAAGCAGGTAGGTGTGGTCAAGATGTTCCGATTTCTGGGTCTTTTGCATAAGTAACTGAGGATTTTATGTAAAACAGCTAAATCCAGGGGACTCAGGGGCACTGGACGACGCTGACCACCTCTGTGGATGTGAAAATTGAGTAAGTATTTGATAAGGCTTTACAAAATTGTTTTGTACACAGGAGTATGGAAATGTCGACGTGTGTTGCCGGAGCTGCTAAGGGCTGGAAGCTTTGCTGGCTCCGGTGTGCGGAGGAGCCCAGGCTGCTATTTTTGAATCACCAGCTGATGCTGGTTGTGTAATGATGACCTGCTTGCGGTTCAAACCCACTCAGTGTTGCAGGGATGGGCTAGCTCTCAGAGCGTCAACAGTCACTGTTGCGGTCTCTTTCCATTGGCTCTAACTACTAGGGCATTTTTTTCTTTCTGCCAGGTCTGGTGCTGCTAAGCCCCAAGGCTCGAAAGGAGGGAGGGAAGGGGCGGAGGGGGCGGAGGGGGATGCGGATTACCCTAGAAGCTTGGTTTGCTTTACTCTCAGTTCTGTGTTCCCGGCCTTATAAGAGGCCCATAGCCACGTTAGGGAAAGGTCAGACTTGGTGACCTCACTTAAAATGATTGCCCAAGGATTCTGTTGTGTGTTATTAATTGTAAAACTATTTCCTCTGACTTTGGAGTGAGCAATTATGCTTGATACCAAGTCAAGAAACATTTGGGGCGGTGGAGGGGGGAGACTTGATTGAAATTTTGGAGCAGCCAGTTGCAGAGAGTATTCTACGTAATAATCATAATAGGGCCAGTGATGAACACCTCAATCCAGGAAACTCTCAGGCGCACATAATAATGAGTTTCCATTCTCATCTGACCTGTTAGAGAGAAATGGTATTTGAAGAGGAAGTGGCTAATGTTGAAAGTAGATATATAGAAGCAACTTTAAATGGTAGGTTGAGCCATTGGTGGAATTAATTTTTTTTAAGCATTCTAGTTCCAAATTTCAGGATGCAGAATTCAGATCAACTTTGTCTGGTTTTGCTGTCAATGTCCTTTTTAAAAAATGCAAAATAACATTTCTTTTACTTCCAAGACAACTGCAGTCTTTCCTCATCTTCCTTATCCTTTCACTGTAATCGTGAAAATGATGTAAAACATTCATTAAGTATCAATCATATATTTCCAAGACAGCAAAGTGTTTTTCATCATTTCTCCTATATTCTTAAGTCACAAAATGAGTTGTTTTCCCATTTCCACATATTTTTCTGTATTTTGTATATTTCTCATATATAAGGCATGAATTAAGGAATAAACAGCCTTTTCACTTTTATTTTTTTATTATTTGAGACAGAGTCTTGGTATGTTGTCCAGGCTGGAGTGCAGTGTCATGATCATGGCTCACTGTGGCTTTAAACTCCTGGGCTCAGGTGGTCCTCCCATGTCAGCCTCCCAAGAAGCTGGGACATCAGGTGTGCATCACCATACCTGGCTAATTCATTCATTCATTCATTCATTCTCTCTCTCTCTCTCTCTCTCTCTCTCTCTCTCTCTCTTTTGAGACAGAGTCTCCCTTTGTTGCTCAGGCTGGAGTGCAGTGTTGCATCTCGGCTGACTAATTTCCACTCACTGTAATTTCCACCTCCCAGGTTCAAGCAATTTTTGTGCCTTAGCTTCCCAAGTAGCTGGGACTATAGGTGTGCGCCACCATGCCTGACTAATTTTTGTATTTTTGGAAGAGATGAGGTTTTGCCTTGTTGGCGAGGCTGGTGTTGAACTCCTGCTCAAGTGATCATCCCACCTCAGTTTCTTGAAGTGTTGGGATTACAGGTGTAGCCATGGCACCCCTGCTAAACTGCCTTTTAAAATAAAAACTTACTGACCACCCTTTTTAGTATAACATTTCATTGGTTTTAGGTGATTGCTAATTATTCTAATCCATGGGAATTCAAGCAAAGTTTTTAGAGAAGTATTATGTTAATTTGGAGTATTTTTCCTGTTTCTTTAGGCTCAGATTATTGCTACTGTGTATTCAGAACTGCATGTTACTTCTAAGTTGAATAAAGCTGTTTTGGAACTATCAGGTACCTCAAAGGGTAAGTACATCCTTTGATTATATCTTATTTCCCTCCCTCCTGCTACCAATAATGGCCAATAATGATGCTTTTTTTTTTTCTCTTATTCAACAAAATAAAAATATAGGGCAGACCTCTCTTGTGAGTGCAATGATTGATGACCTACAGTTTCTAACAAAACCGAAATTATAGGTAGAAGGAACTGTCAATGTTACCATCAAGAATTAAGTTAGGGTTGGGCATGGTGGCTCAGCCCTGTAATCCCAGCACTTTGAGAGGCTGAGGTGGAAGGATCCCTTGGGCCCAGGAGTTTGAGACCATCCTTGGCAACATAGCAAGATCCTGTCTGTATGAGAACATTTTAAAAAATTGGCCAGGTGTGGTAGCACATGCCTATAGTCCCACCTACTCTGGAAGCTGAGTTGGGAGGATTGCTTGAGCCTGGGCGGTTGAGGCTGCAGTGAGCCATGATTGCACGACTGCACTCCAGCCTGAGTGAGAAAGCCAGACCCTGTCTCAAAAAATAAAAAAAAAGCTAACTGCTATTAGACATGTGTACTCTCTTAACTATAACTCAGAATTGTGCCTAGAAAAAATAGTACAGAGTTTGTTGGGTCTGTGACTTCCTAAAGCTCTTAGCCACTGTTCCTGCACCAGCCTTCTTTAAACGCTATTCAAAATCATAGAAAATATATAATTCGAAAGTATTTTTATTTGAAATTATGTATTTGATAATATTTAATTGTGTACTAAATTTTATCTGCTTTTCTGAAAGTCATGGTGGAACAGAGAGTCAAATGACAAATGTGAAGTGTTTATTTGAAATAGAGACTATATTTGATTCGGTCAGTATCTCCAAAGAGAATGTTCTGTCCTTCTTGCTATATGACTAACCATCTGTAGCCATTTGCTTAGGGTCCAGAAGAAAAGTATGTTTCTAGTTGAAGAAAGTAAATAAGCCTGCTAATATAATCATTACTGACTTACATTTCTGACCATATTCTGCTTTACAAAGGACTTTGCTATTCATGATCTTACTACCTTGTGGGACATTTTACAGAAGAAAAATTTGAGGTTCATAGGACATAAGTGACTTGTCCAATTTGTAAATAAATCGTTATGACTGGTATAAAGTCTTTGGTCTCCTGGACAATACCAAGCAGTCTCCTAGATGGAAACAACAAACCCACTTATGTGTATATATGACCTAGCTCAAAGCTCTCATCCAGCTAGTGCTCAGACTGCTTGTCAGATTTGTTAAATTGTTTTTAGCCTTGCTTGTTTTCCACAGTCCCTAATTAGGGATTTTCATATGGCAAAAAGATGTTAATTTTTTTCCCCATTAAAAAACATATAAATTGTTCAGCTTTGATAAATATTAATTTGATATATTAACCACTCTTAAGAGAAGTACATCTAATTCATGCCATACCTATTAAGTTGAAAACAGAAGAATCAACACAGGAATAATTGACTTTTTTTTTTTTTTTCTTTTGAGACGGAGTCTCACTCTGTCACCCAGGCTGGAGTGCAGTGGTATGATCTCGGCTCACTGCAACCTCTGCCTGCTGGGTTCAAGCGATTCTCCTACCTCAGCATCCCAAGTAGCTGGAACTATAGGCACACACCACCATACCCAGCTAATTTTTGTATTATTAGTAGAGATGAGGTTTCACCATATTGGCCCAGCTGGTCTCAAACTTCTGACTTTGTGATTCGCCTACCTCGGCCTCCCAAAGTGCTGGGATTACAGGCATGAGTCACCGCACCTGACCAGGAATAATTGACTTTCTAATTATTGTTGAAGTTAGCCAATATTGCTAAGCCTAGTTATTTATTTCTAGAAGCATAGTCTGTATGTAAGTACCTAAGGATGGCCTCCTCTTTGCTAATCACAGGTTTCTGGGAGAAGGAAATGAATGTTGTGTTATAAAATATTTTATAAAATGGGAGTCTTTTGGCCAAAAAGGAGCAGAAAGCAGGGGCACAGTCTAGAAGCAGTCTGGATACATCAGAACACAGGGTGGTGTGAATTCTCCCAAATGAAGTGAATGGAACTGAGACTGAATTTCTGTCTGTATTCTGACCAGTTATATAGAACCTCCATTTGTTTGTTCGTTCATTCAACAAATAATTGAGTGCCTTTTATATGCCAGTATTGGACACAGTGAACAAAACAAAGGGATCTCTGTCCTGGATTTCACAGTCTGATGGGAAAGAAAACAACACTGAACAAGTAATTATGAGAATGATCACTGCTACAGAAGAAAAAGTGCAAAAGTGCTACCACAGCATAAAACCAGGGGTAGGGGGAGGTTTAGGGTGAGCCTCCCTGGATACTAGAAGAATGAGTAAATATTAGCTAAGCAAAGAATAGGTTGGGATTAAGAAACTTCTAGGAGAAAGAAGAGCATGAGGGCAGACCCTTAACCAAATTAGAAAGTGGAAAATTTTGGAAGTCAAAAGAAAGGTGGTGTGGCTGCGTAGACTATAGTGTGTAAGGTGGGAGAGTGGCAGATATGAAGGTTGAGAATTTGGTAGGAATTAGATGGTGTAAGCTATGGGGAGGATTTAAAACTTTAGAGACTTTATTCTGTGGGAGATGCAAACTTATTGAATGGGATGAAATGGAATGACAGATGAGGTTTGCATTTGAAAAAAATTATTCTGGATTAAAACTAGTTGACACAGCACAAGAGTAGAGGTCTTTTTACCCCTGCAAGTATGAACAAATCCTAATCTGGAAGTCAGCATTATCTTTGTTTTCAAACATTAAACATATTCTTTCCCCCAAATTATCCTATAAAATATTACTTCAGCCAGACACAGTGGCTTACTTTTGTAATCCCAGCCCTTTGAAAGGCTGAGGTGCAGGGATTGCTTGAGCCCAAGAGTTCAAGACTAGCTTGGGCAACATAGCAAGACCCCATCTCTACAGAAAACTTAAAAATTAGGCCAGCATAGTGACATGCAGCTATGATCCCAGCTACTCAGGAGGCTGAGGCAGGAGGATCACTTAGTGAGCTGTGATCATGCCCTGTTCTCCAGCTTGGGTGATAGAATAAGACCCTGTTTTAAAAGAAATTACTTTATCTTTCTGGTGGGATATATGATTTACCAAATCATAGGTATGTGAAATTAGAAACAAGACATAAAAAGTAAAGTAGCCAGGCCAGGCGCGGTGGCTCAAGCCTGTAATCCCAGCACTTTGGGAGGCGGAGGCGGGTGGATCACGAGGTTGAGAGATCGAGACCATCCTGGTCAACATGGTGAAACCCTGTCTTTACTAAAAATACAAAAAAAAAAGTAGCTGGGCGTGGTGGCACGTGCCTGTAATCCCAGCTACTCAGGAGGCTGAGGCAGGAGAATTGCCTGAACCCAGGAGGCGGAGGTTGCGGTGAGCCGAGATCGCGCCATTGCACTCCAGCCTGGGTAACAAGAGCGAAACTCCGTCTCAAAAAAAAAAAAGTAAAGTAGCCAAAAGAAGTTACAAGGAGCTAGACATTAATTCCAGCATCAGGCTGAATTTTAGCTTAAGAATTAAGGTTAATAGTACTTTTCTTCTGAAAAAGTGCCATGATATCCTTGTTGACTCTGTATAAGTCCTTTGTCTGTCCATGAGATCTGAGCTAAGAATGCTTCATCAAAGGCAATTTCAGAGGACTGATATAACACTTGTATTGATTTGATGCAGGAGATAGTTAAAAGCACTTAATACTGAAATAAATACCCACCTCTCTTCATTAATGTCATTTAATAGTCTATAGGCTAAGAATTATAGTAGTTTATTTATTTTTCTTAAACACTTGTATTTTTGTAGAGATGGGGTCTTGCTGTGTTGCCCAAGCTGGTCTCAAACTCCTGGGCTCAAGCTATCCTCTCACCAGAGCCTCCCGAAGGACTGAGATTATAGGCATGAGCCACAGCACCTGACCTGGAATTTATTAATTATAGAGTTATACATCTTCATCTTGTTTCTCACTCTATTTACATTGCAGGAATCAGTATTACAAGGCAGTTTTATTGCAGAAATCTCAATTACATTGAAATTCCAAGTATTTCTATACGACTTCTATTTTTCCTTGTTTGTTTGTTTTGAGACAGAGTCTTGCTCTGTTGCCTAGGCTGGAGTGCAGTGGTGCGATTTGGGTTCACTGTAACCTCCGCCTCTCAGGTTCAAGCCTCAGCTTCCTGAGTCACTGGGATTACCAACACATGCCATCATGTCGGCTAGTTTTTGTATTTTTAGTAGAGATAGGGTTTCACCATGTTGACCAGGCTGGTCTCAAACTCCTAATTCAAGCGATCCACTCATCTTGGCTTCCCAAAGTGCTGGGATTACAGGCGTGAGCCACTTCACACAGCCAGTATACTACTTCTGAAAGCAAAAAGTATATATCACAAAAAGGAATTGTGATATATACCATGGAATACTATGTAGCCATAAAAAAGGATGAGTTCATGTCCTTTACAAGGACATGGATGAATCTGGAAACCGTCATTCTCAGCAAACTGACACAAGAACAGAAAACCAAACACCCCATGTTCTCACTCATAAGTGGGTGTTAAACAATGAGAACACATGGACACAAGGAGGGAACATCACACACTGGGGTCTGTTGCGGGGTGGGGGGCTAGAGGAGGGATAGGAGGGAGTGGGGAGATTGGGGAGGGATAGCATTAAGAGAAATACCTAATGTAGGTAATGGGTGGCTGGAGGCAGCAAACTACCATAGCATGTGTATACGATACCTGTGTAACAATACTGCAAACTCTGCACATGTACCCCAGAACTTAAAGTGAAATAATAATAATAAAAACAATATTCACCAAGAAAAAAAGGAGGAATTGTGATTGCATTAGAACTTTGAGTGGGTTATCTGAAGTCTTCTGAAGCTTGAAAGAAACAGAGGGAACATTTTCTTATTTAGTCACAACTTTAATCAAATCATTCTCTTTTATTTCTCAGTCTTTTAATCCTGGATAATAAATTTTATTTACTTACTCACTTTGCTTAACGCCTAACAATAATCACTTGATATGTAGTAATTATACAGTTGATTCACCCCCAGTACTTTGAATTTACATAAAACAGCCGATTGTTTCCACAAGTCTGTCTATAAACACACTGGGAGCAAGGTCCAGGTCTCATTAGTCTTGGTGTCTTTCCCAGGACTTACCAGAGGGTTTTGCATATGCTAGAATTGCTCAGCACAACATAAGTACTTGTTGAATGAATGATTGCTTCTTAGTAATAGCTACTTCCTTGTACAGTTCTTCATTACCAGCGACCCACCTTTATGAGTTACTGTGGTCTTTGTACAGAGCCCACTACTCATTTATTCAAATAATCCTAGAATGACTTGTGTGCCAGGCACACAAGTTGTATGGGAGAGATAGACAGGTGAATGAGCAAAGACCACCAGAGAGCTGTATCCTAGAGCTTGGCATCTCTAGTAGCCTTTTCCAATGCAAGCATTCTCAAATCTGTACTGGTTTCCATTTCTGTACTAAGGTATTTGGTTGCTACAATTAAGTAAAACAACTTTTTCCCCATTTGCATGAAAAAAAATACTGTAATTTCTTTGTCTTCCCCTTTCATAAACAATTGCTACTTTTGATAATACTGATAGAAGGTAACATAATAAATAGTAAACTTTTGCTATAACTAAATAGTAAACTTTTGCTATAACTTTTCCTTAAACAGTTGCTACTTTTGATTATACTGATAGAAGGTAACATAATAAATAGTAAACTAACATTAATGGAAAAACTTGCAACTAACAGTGTTTAACTTGAGGACTTTAAAAATAGTTACTTGTGCTTAAACTCTGATTTTATATTGTACATTTACATTTATATATGCTGTATGTGTATATTTGAATGTATGTATGCACACATAGGCATTTTTTTGGTTAGTAAAATTATTCTGGCTAGGCGCAGTTTGCTTGTGCCTATAATCCCAGCTTGTAATTTCAGCACTTTTGGAGGCCAAGGAAGGAAGATTGCTTGAGGCCAGGAGTTAGACACCAGTCTGGCCAACATGGTGAAACCAAGTCTCTAAAAGAAAGCAAGAGAAAGGGAAGAAGAATTGTGGGGGTGGAAGGAAGAGGGCTGGGCGCAGTGGTTCACGCCTGTAATCTCAGTACTTTGGGAGGCTGAGGCAGGTGGATGGAGTTTGAGAGTAGCCTGTGCTATATGACGAAACCCCGTCTCTACAAAAAATTAAAAAATTAGCTGAACATAGTGACATGTGCCTGTGGTCCCAGCTTCTCAGGAGGCTGAGATGTGAGGATTGCTTGAGCCTGGGAGGTCAAGGCTACAGTGAGCTATGATTGTGTCACTGCGCTGTAGGCTGGGCAACAGAGTAAGACATGTCACACACACACACACACACACACACACACACACACACACACAATTCCTGTATTATATGACTGGATTAAATATACAAATAACGTTTTTTTTTTTTTCTTTTCTTTTTTTTTGTCACCAAGCCAGAGTGCAGGGGTGAGATCTCTGCTCACTGCAACCTCCATATCCCAGGATCAAGTGATTCTTCTGCCTCAGCCTCCTGAGTAGCTGGGCCTACAGGCATGTGCCACCATGCCCAACTAATTTTTGTATTTTTAGTAGAGATGGGGTTTCCCCATGTTGGCCAGGATGGTCTCGATCTCTTGACCTTGTGATCCACCTGCCTCGGCCTTCCAAAGTGCTGGGATTATAGGCGTAAACCACTTTATAAAACAAATAACATTGTTTTATAAAGAACATTTTGCCCTCCCACTGGAATTCATATGAGAATCACATTCTAAGCCAGCTTCCTAGCATTTTGGTCATAATTGTCTTTCTGATCCTGAAAGCTTGGAAACACAACTTCACTGTCTCAGGAGATAATATTTGATTCTCAAAGGATGATAGAACTGTATTCAGAAATAAAAATTATTCTCAACCTTGCCCCTTCACATGCTCTGACCAAAAAAAGTAAATGAGCTACTTTATTGAAGTAGTCTGCTCTGTTACCTCATAGTTGGCGTTATAGAAGGCAGAGAAAATACATTTGAGCTCTACTTTGAGAGTAAATGTCAGACCCTTGAGGAAATTAAAGCTGAATAAAAGGCTAGATTTTTGTAGTTTGTCATATACAGAAAAAGAATATGGCCTTTTAATTTGGAAGGAAAGAAGGCCTGGCTACTGTTTTTCTTATAATAGCCTTAGTAGAAATAAGTTGTCATTACTTCAAAAATGTTTGCATTCATCTTATATAACAGTGGTAGTAGTAGCCAACAAGTGCTATAGATTTCCCTGAAAAGCACTTGGGTTATCTTGAATCAACAAGGAAGTAGTTAAGCAGAATAATTTCAGGGGCCTTTGTTCTCATCTTTTCATTCGACTGACTCATTGGAGATGAGCTTATTTACTTTTTATAATTTCCTAGTGTGCCTAGTACATAGGAATGAGATCGGTTTGCTTTTTTCTTAATGTTCAGTGAATGTTCTTTGAACTACTTTGATGTGCCAACCACTGAGTTGGGTCACTGAATGCAAAGAAGTAGTTAACACTTGGATATAGCATTTATTGTGTTCTAGACATGTTTTAAGCTCTCGACATTATATTATCTCATTGGACCCACAGAACAACGCTGTGATGTTGGCACTCTTATTTTTTCCATTTCACAGGTGAAGAAAATGAGGCAGGGAAGTTTTGTATCTGGCCCAACATCAGTGGGCTAGTAAGTGAGGAGACAGGGATTAGAATCCAGGCAGTCTGGCTAAGAGTTGACTCTCAACCATTCTCCTGTCCTACAGTGCTTCTTTCCCTACACCATTCCCTTTTATGAGCCTTCTCCACCCCTGCTGTATGAACATTTGAGCCTGAATTTGTGGTGTTTGTAGCTAACTGAATGACTGATGAGTGGGCCCTTGCAATACGAGTGCCAGACACATGCAGAGTGATTGATATATGTGTGTTGAAAGAACGATTATTGACAGACAAGAAGATTGAAGTCATGATTGTAAGAGACTTTAACATTATCTTGGTTGTTTTTAAATAGTGAAGAAAAATACTGATGGCTAAAGATTTTAGTTGCTCCATGACCCAGTCATTAATAACCAAATGTATGTGCACCTGTGCTCTGAGGTCACACACACATGCATTTATATACCCTTGTATTGTACAGAGAGGAAACAAGGGGGAGACTTTTTCTCTTTGCATTGACATTTCATCATTAGATGTGTTGCCAGTTGGCACCACCCTTCCTTTTCTGTTCTCCTATTGTCCCCTCACAATTTGTCCTCTTGTGTGTCACCTCCTAGTCTGACTGACAGCACTCCACAAGCTTGCCTGCCATGGGCTGTCGGGATGTCCACGCAGCCACAGTCCTTTCGTTCCTGTGTGGAATCGCTTCAGTAGCAGGCCTCTTTGCAGGGACTCTGCTTCCCAACTGGAGAAAATTACGATTGATCACATTCAACAGAAATGAGAAGAACCTGACTGTTTACACAGGCCTGTGGGTGAAATGTGCCCGGTATGATGGGAGCAGTGATTGCCTGATGTACGACACTACCTGGTACTCATCAGTTGACCAGCTGGACCTGCGTGTCCTCCAGTTTGCCCTACCCCTCAGCATGCTGATCGCAATGGGTGCCCTGCTGCTCTGCCTGATTGGAATGTGCAACACTGCCTTCAGGTCCTCGGTACCCAACATCAAACTGGCCAAGTGTCTGGTCAATAGTGCAGGTTGCCACCTGGTGGCTGGGTTGCTATTTTTCCTGGCAGGTACTGTGAGCCTCTCCCCATCTATCTGGGTCTTCTTTTATAACATCCATCTGAACAAGAAGTTTGAGCCAGTCTTTTCATTTGACTATGCAGTGTATGTCACTATTGCTAGTGCTGGGGGCCTGTTTATGACTTCCCTTATACTGTTTATTTGGTATTGTACATGCAAATCTTTGCCTTCTCCTTTCTGGCAACCACTGTATTCCCATCCACCCAGTATGCATACTTATTCACAGCCTTATTCAGCACGCTCTCGCCTCTCTGCCATTGAAATTGACATTCCAGTAGTTTCACACACCACTTAATGGGGAAATAGTTAATTGTTAAAACTTCTTGTAGCCTCACATTCCCCTTGTGCAAGGAGCTCTTTTGGACCTATATACATTTTCCTTTGTCTTTGACCAGTCATTGAAGCCAAATTTGTATGTTCTGGTAGAATGAAGTGCTGCTAGTTTTTATGAGAAGTACATTATATTAAGTGTGAATTTTTTTATTTTGCTTCTTATACTGGAAGGAATTTTAGCCTTCATATTGATATCTAATCAATTATTTAAGTGGAAAAGGCCTGCATCACAATTGAGGTGATTTAGAGCAACATGTTAAAAGAATGATGGTTATCAGAAACTCTCATATACAGTCTTCATGAACATTTCAGTGCATATTTTTCTTTTTCTACAATACCTTTAACTGCAAAAAAAGAAGCAGTTTCAAATATAAGAAATTTATTTCAGGCAAAGGTAATATTTTAATAGTAGTCAATAATCTAGCTTAAGGTTGTAACTCTTCTCTTTTGGGGCAGTTGTATGAATAGGTGTCAGTATGTTGAAAATTACTTTTGTGGGTTTCTTCTACCTCATGCCAGTGTTTAAAAGTAAACTGTATTTTGAATGATGTTAGAATAAGACTAACATTCTAAATACCTACTACATATAAATGACATGTAACAAGTTTAACATTAATGATTCCATAAACTACATTATTGGGATTAAACTGTGCTTTATGACAGGTTAGTGTTTCCTCCATGAAAATTCTCTTTTGGAGATAACATTCATCAAGCAGTACTCATGCCCATATACAATCTCTTACTGGCTAAGAGAAATAAATAGAAGGGCCATAATAGTTTGTTCTCTTTCACACATAATTTAGTATGGGACAAGAAATCTGTTCTTTGGTGACTACACTAGAGATTTACTCTGGTAACTGCCTTTTGAGTTATGGGTGAAGTAAGGTATGGCCTTACCATAACCTTGATTCATTCACCCTTGATTAATTTCCCACCCCGTCACTGATTATTTCCTTGAGCATATATCTCTGCCTAACACTTCAGTAGGTGCTATAGAGGATACGTGAGAAGTATGAGATTGGTCCCATCCAGTAAGACATTTTAATAGAGAAGATTAAAATGTTACCTGACAGTTGGGGAACAGTCTAACTTCAGTGGCAGTTGGCCTTAACTTCTTAATCATTAATCCAGGAATATATTTCAACCAGAAACATGAATTTCTGGCAAACAGACAAATTGTACAATACCAACAATATCCTGGACCTTGAAATTCTGTTTACTTCAGTCCATTGTATCCTTAAGGCACCTGTGTTAGCCTAGATTTTGTAATAACACTCTTTTATGAGAATGGGCAAAAGTGGTAGAGAAATCAAATTGTTCCCTGTCCACTTCTGAAAGTATGATGATGTATTAAGGAAGGAGGAGTTATTAAAAATACCTCTTCTGTTGAGGTAACAATTAGATGAAACCATGTTAAAACTGAGATGAACACTAAGAAATTCAGGGATATTGGGTCTTTAGCCTTATGAATTTGAGCTGCTTATTTAATTGGTGTAATTTGCTACATATTAGTACTATATTCTTAAGGATTTTTTATTAATCATTACAGATTTTACAAACAGCTAGTTGTACGGTAAACAGATTATTATACTTTTTGCAAATCTAAATATGAATCTAGTTAGTATTTGTGTAGATGTATTTGGTACTTTTTCCCCTAATTCCAACACTAGTTTATATATATAGCAAATCTAGTTGTATATATTTTTAAATACCATCAGTAGAAAGCACACAAGCCTATGTTTTTTTTAGTTAATAGCTTCTGGTTTCTTTCACTCTTCACCTTTCTCAGATGTAGCGGAGTCTTGATCATTTTAAGACAATGGTGGGTAGAATTTTGAGATTAATATTACTTTTCCCTTTTTGTTAATTAATTTCAGTCCTTTCTCACTATGCTTTTGTCCAGAAGGATCAAGAATTCTACCATCTCCTGGGTCTTTGTGTATAAACAATGTTAAAGAAAGGTAGACTCAGCTATTAAGATACTAGACAGGTTTTTTAGTCCATGGGATTGTACATATAAACATTAAGCTTTCCTATAAGAATCTTTTGGCTTTGTAATCTTTAGTCTCATATTGGTATTTATTATGGATTCACTAGACAAACAGCTGTTTCCTTATTGTCTTTTTCCTTTAGCGTTTCTGATTTGCTATCAGTAGCTATTTTTAAAGCCATCAAAGGAAAATAATTATTTACAGTTTTTGAAGTCACTTTTGAGCCTTCATCAAGCTCTCATTGTGACGGGAGGGATACCTTTTGTTGTTAAAAGCCAATTAACGTTAAAGGCCTTTTATGGAAGCTAACTTGGAAAACAACCTTAAATGTGGATGTATCAGATTTGATTTATCCAGCCATGGGAGAGAAAACAAACCTAAGTTTACTTTACTTGTACATACACACTACGATGGATAGTATGTTTGCTGTAAACTACAATGTAAAACCTCAATAAAAGTGCACTGTACTTCTTGATGTTTATTAAAAGATGATGTATTTTTACAAGTTTCTGCTTCTGTTTTTTTCTCAGTGTTTTAGGTGAAATATTTTGAGAAATGTTTCTCGAATGTATATAAATTGAAAAAGACAGTTTCATTTAAAGCCTTAAAATAAACCGGAAGGCCAGGTGCAGTGGCTCACACCTGTAATCCCAGCACTTTAGGAGGCTGAGGCAGGTGGATCTCTTGAGGTCAGGCAGTTGAGACTATCCTGGCCAACATGGCAAAACCCTGTCTGTACTAAAAATACAAAAAATTAGCCAGGCATGGTGGTGCATGCCTGTAATCCCAGCTACTCAAGTGGCTGAGGCACAGTAATTGCTTGAACATGGGAGGTGGAGGATGCAGTGAGCTACAGTCATGCCACTGCATTCCAGCCTGGGTGACGGAGACTCTGTCTCAAAAAAGGAACTAGAAAGGAATTGGAAAATGTCAAATTATTATCATACAAGTGCCAAGACCCTTTATCCATTTCTAAAAATAGTCCAAGTGATCCGGTGGTCCTAGCAGTTCACTGGGCTTTTGTTGTTGTTGTTTTGTTTTTTAAACTGTCCACAAAGAAACAATGAAGTTGTGGGCCAGATTGGTCTCATCAATGGAGTTTTCTCAGCCCGTGATCTTAGAGACTGGGAATTTGGTTCTCAAACAGTTAAATAGAGGGAACTGTCCATACTCTTCAAAGCTCGAGGTTACCAGAAGTGGTCCTGACAGGCATGTCACCTTAACATTTCTGAAACCTGTGATGAACATGTAGTTTTAGATTACACCTGTGTTGGGACAGTTCTTACATATACTTCTCACTGAAACATGTGGCTCTGATCGTATTAGGTGGTCAAGCCATATGTTGCACTGGAAATCAGAAGCTACTTCAAACTGGGTTACACTAAAGCACAACAGTCCACTTTGGACTGTTCTGCAGGTTCACTGAGGGTGAATAAATGGTAGAGAAACCATTCATGCTAACCAAGTTCACAGGAGACTAGTTTACCAACCAGAAGTGAGAAATACATGTTACTTGGAACCCTGAAACACAACTAGGTTTATCCAAGACGGAGCACATCTTACTCTGCCAGAAAGTGAGGAAGTATCAAAGAATCATGGGAGCTTATCAAATTTCACAGGAGCCAGATTGAAGGTGCTCTCATTGGCCAAATCTGGGACATTTGAAAAATCGAAATAAATGATAGTAATGGTTCTTTCTTTTTCTTTTTTTGAGACAGAGTCTTGCTCTCTCAAAGCTCGAGGTTACCAGAAGTGGTCCTTCTGCACTACTACCAGAAGTAGTTCAGTGGCGAGATCTTGGCTCACTGCAACCTCTGCCTCAGCCTCCCAAGTAGCTGGGATTACAGGTTTGTGCCACCACACCTAGCTAATTTTTGTATTTTTAATAGAGATGGGGTTTTACCATCTTGACCAGGCTGGCTTGAACTACTGACCTTGTGATCCACCAGCCTTGGCCTCCCACAGTGTTGGGATTACAGGCATGAGCCACTGCACTCGGCCCGAAAAGCTCTTTCTTATAGTAAAATACCAAATAATAAGTAGAGAAAAAAAAATGAGAAAAACATCAATGGAATTAAAACTAGTTGACTTGATTTTTTTCTGAGAAACAGGATATTTACTTAGTCTCAAAGTACAAAATGGCTTATTAATTTCAGAAAGGAAAATAACATTATAGTGGATAAACTCGGCAACCTTAGCTGAGTGATCAGGTTTATCACCAATAAGAAAAAGCAACATCATGCACTTCATGATGTGATGCAAGGAGAAGGCCATAATATTTCTGAGGTATTGCCTGAGTCTGATCTTAAAATGTGCAGCTTGTTGGTCCCATTTTTTCTTTTCATTTCCTTGTCTATCCTGATCTCATATCTCTTCATTTTTATAAAAATGCATAAAAACGTAGTCCTATCTCCAAAACTTTTTATAAAATAAACTCTTTTAGGAGAGATTTTAAAGAATTTGTGTCAGACTTCTGTCCTGAAAAACTAAAAAGTTCCAGCAGAAGAGTTGTAAATCAAAGTCACAGAACCACAGGACTGGATAGGAACTTAGCTGTTCCATTTCTGTTGGTTAGCAATGTCTTCAATCTGAAAGCATACTCACGTTACCCCACATACATGAGAGGAGCGTTTCCAGGAGAGGCTCATCCCCCTCCACTGACCTGCTGGGTGGCTCCTTACCCCTCCAGCCCAGGAAGCTTCTGCGTCAGTGCCATAGCGTGCCAGAGAGCCCTTTCAGCCTCACTGCAGGACTGTGGGACTTGGGAAGAAAAAGCACATCTATAGCATAGCCTGCCTAGTGTTCATAACCAAGTATCCAAATCCGCTATTAATGGGAAATTTGGGTTGGTTGGTTGTTATTTTGTTTCAAAATATACCAACTTTTCAGACCGTTCTATAAAAAATTGTATTCAGGCTGGGTGTGGTGGCACACACCTATAATCCCAGCACTTTGGGAGGCTGAGGCAGGTGAATCATGAGGTCAGGAGTTTAAGACCAGCCTGACCTAGATGGTGAAACCCTGTCTCTACTAAAAGTTATAAAAAAATTAGCCAGACACAGTGGCACATGCCTGTAATCCCAGCTACTCAGAAGGCTGAGGCAGGAAAATTGCTTGAACCTGGGAGGTGGGCGTTGCAGCAAGCCAAGATCGTGCCACTGCACTCCAAGCTGGGTGACAGAGCAAGACTGTCTCAAACACACACACACACACACACACACACACACACACACGCACACACACACTGTATTCAGCAAATTTTGGGGAAGATAGTGAGATGTTGGATGAGAAGAAAAGAACAGTTTTCTTATTTTATATGAAAAACCCAGTGTGGCTAGACCTCTTAGCAAAAGCATAGTAATCATAGTTTGGGGATGATCTTATTAAGCAAAATCCCTTTAGAAAGATAGAATATAAACTCATATCTCCAGGATTTTGCTTTATAGGAAAAAAAGGCACAGCTTCTAATTAAGAGAAAAAACATTATTGATACTTTATATAATACCTGGTGGCCTTGTTCCAAGATTCATTCTCAAATTGTTGAAAGTGAATATAGTATACAAATCTAGATAACTCACTTAAATTTTTAAATAGCTTCTACTTTTCTCTCCATGCCCCCTTTCTTGACCTCACTTTCAAAAAAATAATCTTGTGGTGTGGAAGATCCAGGTGGAAGTTTGTCACCAGGAGGCTGCTGCAAGGGACCTACCAGGTCCTAGTAGCCCTCCTCTGGGGTGAGCCCGTCTTCACCTTTGCTGGCCATGTGGATGAGGGTGGAGACTCAGCTGGTCCCTTGTGTTCCAGAACTACTAACCTTCTCTGGCTGCTTCTGCTTTAAGAGCTCAAAGGTAGCAGTGGAGTGCTGGAGCCAAGTAGTACTGGGCCACAAGAGCCAGTGTGTATATCTCTTCCCAATCCCCCAACCTGTGATATCATATTGGTTGCTTGGAATTGGCCATGGTGAAAGTACTTATGCTCTAGAAATTGTTATACAAGTTAGGGCTTTGCTTTGCCTTTTCCTGAGAGCTGATTGTTAAACATTTACTGGCACACCACTGCTCAGGCAAGACTTGTTTGCTGAGGTTTAGGTTAGCTAAGGAGGAAATGAGGAATCATAGCAATACTGAGAGTTGTAAAACTTTATCTGTGATAAACGGGGCTATCTGAAATAGCCTCTTAACAGATTTCTCTGTCTCCAACCCTACCACAAATTTATCCTATAGGCTAGGCTTCAGAATGATCCTAATAAAATGCAACTGAGGCCGGGTGCCGTGGCTCGCAGCTGTAATCCCCAGCACTTTGAGAGGCTGAGGCAGGTGGATCGCCAGAGTTGAGGAGTTCAAGACCAGCCTGGCCAACATGGCGAAACCCTTTCTCTACTAAAAATACAAAAATTAGCCAGGTGTGGTGGCATGCGTCTGCAGTCCCAGCTACTCGGGAGGCAGAAGGCAGGAGAATTGCTTGAACCCTGGAGGTGGAGGTTGCAGTGAGCCAAGATCTTACCATGGTACTCCAGCCTGGGTGACAGAGCAAGACTCCATCTTGAAAAAGAAAAAAAAAATGCAACTGATACCTAGTCTCTCCTATACTTAAGTAATTTGGCAGCTATATCTTAGTATAAGCACAGAGACATGAGTTGTTTAGAAGAATTTTTTTCAATGTGCCCAGAGATGATGAGAATGCTGGTGATTTTTGACATTAATAATATCTCACAAGATGAATGTGTAAAAAAAAAGTGAATTTAATAATAAATAACAGAATATCTCTTTTCTGTGACTAAATTGGTCACATTCCTTATTCAAGGAATATCTGTTTCCTCTATTACTCATTATTATAGAGAGTGGCATGATGAATATGGTAGCTAGCCTCCAAGATGGACCTGGTGATCTTGCTTCCTGGTATTCATACCCTGTATATTCCCTTCTCCCACTGAGCACTCCCTACTGGTAGCTCCCTCCCTGTCTTACCAGTGGGATTTTGCAGAAATGATGGTGTGTGAGGTTATAGGTCATAAAAGACATAGCTTCTGTTTTGTTCTCTGGGGTAAGCCAGCCACAATATTGTGAGGACATACACAGATGTAGGATTAACATAGGAAGAGCTGAGGCCTTCTGCCAACAGTCTGTACCAAATTGCCACCCATATAAGAGAGCTGTCTTGGAAGTGAATTTCCCTAACCCCAACCAAACCTTTAGATGACTGCAAAACTGGCCAATGAGTTGAATGCAACCAGAGTGAGAGACTGAAAACCAGCATCACTCAGTTAAGCCCTCACACCTTATTGACACACACAAATTGGATGAAACAATGTTTATTGTTGTCTTAAACTACTAAATTTTGGGGTGTTTTGTTATACAGCAGTAGATAACTAATGCAAAAAGCATAGAGCAGATTCAGGGGACCAATCCAGGAGTATTTATTTCTATGCTAAGAGTATTGTGAGCTTTCCTTGTCCCATATCAGAAAAGCTCTTTCTCATGATCTCAGATTCCCTAGGAAGATGCT